ATTTTCTGCGGTCCTCGTTCCTTAGGAAGTTAAAAATTATTTAAGACCGTATTCTCATGTGATTTTTCGAAAAAGTCCAGATTTTTAATTCTGTACGTATTTTAAATTAGAAATACCAAAAATAGCTTACACGATGTTCCGAAAAACTTAGTGTACATTGTGTGCGGTCCCGCAATCATTGGAACGTGAAACTCCTCGCGCATCTGTAAGTAGTCACAGTCGACGCATAGTCTGCCACCGGAAATTAATCGAAGGGAACGCGTTTACATCGACCAGAACGCTTATTCTGGAACTGAATGCAGTACGGTGCTGCAGTCAATAAATTTTCCAGATATATCTTCGGTCTATTTAAGCGGCGCCTTGACAAGGACGGAGGATGCGACAGCCGGTAAATAGGAGACACTTTCAATTATAAAATTGTATTCCAACAGCAGGTTGTAAATATAAATAATACTTTAGTACCGAGGCTAAGACTACCTAGACCCCAGGCCTATCTAGATTCCAAGGCTACCTACGCTTCAGGGCCACGTACGCTTCAGGGCCACCTAGGCGGTAGAGCTACCTAGACCCCAGGGCTACCTAGGCTTTAGGACTACCCATTTTGCCCATCTTACAGTCCAGAGCAAACTTTCTGTACCATACTGTCTACAACATCTGAAAGGCTAAGACTACCTAGACCCCAGGCCTATCTAGATTCCAAGGCTACCTACGCTTCAGGGCCACGTACGCTTCAGGGCCACCTAGGCGGTAGAGCTACCTAGACCCCAGGGCTACCTAGGCTTTAGGACTACCCATTTTGCCCATCTTACAGTCCAGAGCAAACTTTCTGTACCATACTGTCTACAACATCTGAAAGGCTAAGACTACCTAGACCCCAGGCCTATCTAGATTCCAAGGCTACCTACGCTTCAGGGCCACGTACGCTTCAGGGCCACCTAGGCGGTAGAGCTACCTAGACCCCAGGGCTACCTAGGCTTTAGGACTACCCATTTTGCCCATCTTACAGTCCAGAGCAAACTTTCTGTACCATACTGTCTACAACATCTGAAAGGCTAAGACTACCTAGACCCCAGGCCTATCTAGATTCCAAGGCTACCTACGCTTCAGGGCCACGTACGCTTCAGGGCCACCTAGGCGGTAGAGCTACCTAGACCCCAGGGCTACCTAGGCTTTAGGACTACCCATTTTGCCCATCTTACAGTCCAGAGCAAACTTTCTGTACCATACTGTCTACAACATCTGAAAGGCTAAGACTACCTAGACCCCAGGCCTATCTAGATTCCAAGGCTACCTACGCTTCAGGGCCACGTACGCTTCAGGGCCACCTAGGCGGTAGAGCTACCTAGACCCCAGGGCTACCTAGGCTTTAGGACTACCCATTTTGCCCATCTTACAGTCCAGAGCAAACTTTCTGTACCATACTGTCTACAACATCTGAAAGGCTAAGACTACCTAGACCCCAGGCCTATCTAGATTCCAAGGCTACCTACGCTTCAGGGCCACGTACGCTTCAGGGCCACCTAGGCGGTAGAGCTACCTAGACCCCAGGGCTACCTAGGCTTTAGGACTACCCATTTTGCCCATCTTACAGTCCAGAGCAAACTTTCTGTACCATACTGTCTACAACATCTGAAAGGCTAAGACTACCTAGACCCCAGGCCTATCTAGATTCCAAGGCTACCTACGCTTCAGGGCCACGTACGCTTCAGGGCCACCTAGGCGGTAGAGCTACCTAGACCCCAGGGCTACCTAGGCTTTAGGACTACCCATTTTGCCCATCTTACAGTCCAGAGCAAACTTTCTGTACCATACTGTCTACAACATCTGAAAGGCTAAGACTACCTAGACCCCAGGCCTATCTAGATTCCAAGGCTACCTACGCTTCAGGGCCACGTACGCTTCAGGGCCACCTAGGCGGTAGAGCTACCTAGACCCCAGGGCTACCTAGGCTTTAGGACTACCCATTTTGCCCATCTTACAGTCCAGAGCAAACTTTCTGTACCATACTGTCTACAACATCTGAAAGGCTAAGACTACCTAGACCCCAGGCCTATCTAGATTCCAAGGCTACCTACGCTTCAGGGCCACGTACGCTTCAGGGCCACCTAGGCGGTAGAGCTACCTAGACCCCAGGGCTACCTAGGCTTTAGGACTACCCATTTTGCCCATCTTACAGTCCAGAGCAAACTTTCTGTACCATACTGTCTACAACATCTGAAAGGCTAAGACTACCTAGACCCCAGGCCTATCTAGATTCCAAGGCTACCTACGCTTCAGGGCCACGTACGCTTCAGGGCCACCTAGGCGGTAGAGCTACCTAGACCCCAGGGCTACCTAGGCTTTAGGACTACCCATTTTGCCCATCTTACAGTCCAGAGCAAACTTTCTGTACCATACTGTCTACAACATCTGAAAGGCTAAGACTACCTAGACCCCAGGCCTATCTAGATTCCAAGGCTACCTACGCTTCAGGGCCACGTACGCTTCAGGGCCACCTAGGCGGTAGAGCTACCTAGACCCCAGGGCTACCTAGGCTTTAGGACTACCCATTTTGCCCATCTTACAGTCCAGAGCAAACTTTCTGTACCATACTGTCTACAACATCTGAAAGGCTAAGACTACCTAGACCCCAGGCCTATCTAGATTCCAAGGCTACCTACGCTCCAGGGCTACCTAGACTCTAGAGCAACCTAGACTCCAGAGCTATCTAGGCTCTAGGACTACTCATTTTTGCATGCTACAGTCCAGAGCAAACTTTCTGTACCAAACTGTTTACAACATCTGAGTGGCTAAGACTACCTAGACCCCAGGCCTATCTAGATTCCAAGGCTACCTACGCTTCAGGGCCACCTACGCTGTAGAGCTACCTAGACCCCAGGGCTACCTAGGCTCTAGGACTACCCATTTATTCCATCCTACAGTCCAGAGCAAACTTTTTGTACCAAACTGTCCACAACATCTGAGTGGCTAAGACTACCTAGGCTTCCAGGCCTACCTAGGCTCCAGAGCTACCTAGAACTCAGGGCTACCTAGGCTTTAGGACTACCCATTTTTCCATCCTACAGTCCAGAGCAAACTTTCTGTACCAAACTGTCTACAACATCTGAAAGGCTAAGACTACCTAGACCCCAGGCCTATCTAGATTCCAAGGCTACCTACGCTTCAGGGCCACCTAGGCTGTAGAGCTACCTAGACCCCAGGGCTACCTAGGCTTTAGGACTACCCATTTTTCCCATCTTACAGTCCAGAGCAAACTTTCTGTAACCAAACTGTCTACAAAATCTGAGTGGCTAAGACTACCTAGGCTTCGAGGCCTACCTAGGCTCCAGGGCTACCTAGACTCCAGGGCTACCTAGGCTCTAGGACTACCCATTTTTCCATCCTACAGTCCAGAGCAAACTTTCTGTACCAAACTGTCTACAACATCTGAAAGGCTAAGACTACCTAGACCCCAGGCCTATCTAGATTCCAAGGCTACCTACGCTTCATGGCCACCTAGGCTGTAGAGCTACCTAGACCCCAGGCCTATCTAGATTCCAAGGCTACCTACGCTTCAGGGCCACCTAGGCTGTAGAGCTACCTAGACCCCAGGGCTACCTAGGCTTTAGGACTACCCATTTATTCCATCCTACAGTCCAGAGCAAACTTTCTGTACCAAACTGTCTACAACATCTGAGTGGCTAAGACTACCTAGGCTTCCAGGCCTACCTAGGCTCCAGAGCTACCTAGAACTCAGGGCTACCTAGGCTCTAGGACTACCCATTTTTCCATCCTACAGTCCAGAGCAAACTTTCTGTACCAAACTGTCTACAACATCTGAAAGGCTAAGACTACCTAGACCCCAGGCCTATCTAGATTCCAAGGCTACCTACGCTTCAGGGCCACCTAGGCTGTAGAGCTACCTAGACCCCAGGGCTACCTAGGCTTTAGGACTACCCATTTATTCCATCCTACAGTCCAGAGCAAACTTTCTGTACCAAACTGTCTACAACATCTGAGTGGCTAAGACTACCTAGGCTTCCAGGCCTACCTAGGCTCCAGAGCTACCTAGAACTCAGGGCTACCTAGGCTCTAGGACTACCCATTTTTCCATCCTACAGTCCAGAGCAAACTTTCTGTACCAAACTGTCTACAACATCTGAAAGGCTAAGACTACCTAGACCCCAGGCCTATCTAGATTCCAAGGCTACCTACGCTTCAGGGCCACCTACGCTGTAGAGCTACCTAGACCCCAGGGCTACCTAGGCTCTAGGACTACCCATTTATTCCATCCTACAGTCCAGAGCAAACTTTTTGTACCAAACTGTCCACAACATCTGAGTGGCTAAGACTACCTAGGCTTCCAGGCCTACCTAGGCTCCAGAGCTACCTAGAACTCAGGGCTACCTAGGCTTTAGGACTACCCATTTTTCCATCCTACAGTCCAGAGCAAACTTTCTGTACCAAACTGTCTACAACATCTGAAAGGCTAAGACTACCTAGACCCCAGGCCTATCTAGATTCCAAGGCTACCTACGCTTCAGGGCCACCTAGGCTGTAGAGCTACCTAGACCCCAGGGCTACCTAGGCTTTAGGACTACCCATTTTTCCCATCTTACAGTCCAGAGCAAACTTTCTGTAACCAAACTGTCTACAAAATCTGAATGGCTAAGACTACCTAGACTGCAGGACTTCCTAGATTCCAAGGCTACCTACGCTCCAGGGCTACCTAGACTCCAGAGCAACCTAGACTCCAGGGCTATCTAGGCTCTAGGACTACTCATTTTTGCATGCTACAGTCCAGAGCAAACTTTCTGTAACCAAACTGTCTACAAAATCTGAGTGGCTAAGACTACCTAGGCTTCCAGGCCTAACTAGGCTCCAGGTTAACCTAGACCTCAGGGCTATCTAGGCTCTAGGACTACCCATTTTTCCATCCTACAGTCCAGAGCAAACTTTCTGCACCAAACTGTCTACAACGTGTGAATGGTCCTAACGCAGTTTTTTTTTTCTGTTTTCAGGTGAGTGTCTCGGAATTCCATGACGCTCGGGGGATAACCGCGTCCCTAACTCTGGTAAGCCATAAAGCAATGTATCACCCCCGTTTCACCCGCGGCGTACCAGTACTGCTCACGCCACGGTGGCCTTGATTTCGTCGGTGGCTGCGTCATGTGCTGCGCCACCCTCGTCTTTCGCCGCCTCGAATGAACGACGGGGGTAGGTTGTAGGCTCGGCTAATACTCCGAGACATCCTTCTTAATTAACGCCGCCATATATACCGTTCTTTTTCACGATTAACCGACTTCCGACGCGGCCTGCTAGGATCTCAGCGCGATTTTCTCGGCGCGCGCACGCGGCTGTCCGCTTGATGTCCTCGGGGAGCGAGGAATCATGGGAGCTCTCCCTCTCCCCAGCCTCAAGTGGGCCATTATAATTGGCAGCAGCACGTGCTACGTCGACGCTGTTCGGGGAATACTTTCTATATGGCTGTGTTTTCCCCACGTGTGTGTGGCTGGAAATTTTTCTTCCTTGTTTGACACGATGTCTTGCACGCGCCGAGGGATGTAAGTTGGCTTTGATAAATGGCTCGCTACCCGAAGGGGGGCCCTAGACACTGTGGAGGTTCGGGCTGCTGTGAAAAATAGTAGACTTCTTTTTAGAGACGATCATTAGGACATTTTCGTGGAATTAGTCGTCGGAAAGGGTAGATCGAATTTCTTCTGTGAAAGTGCACCACTTCCCCATTAGCGGTTTGGTGACATGCTGTTATAACATATCGATTAATTGCTGTTTCCTTTTATATCCTGTACATTGTCTGGTCCGTGTCGAGGAGATGCAAATATTTTTTGTGTGGATGACTGTTTTTACCACTGTTTTAACAAGGACCACCCTTGTTGGCGAAGTAAGGCGTGTCCCAGGGGAATTATAAATATATGTATACGTATTTATATATCGTCAGAATGGTCACGGAGGGTTGCAGGGCAGGGTATGTAACAGGGGAAGAATTATTTTATTGCAGTGGGACAAATATTAAGTCCCACTGACTGGATGAATCTGTTTAAAGATATCCTATTTATTAAAAAAAAAAAACATACTTTTCAAATATATTTTATTTAACCCATTTGCATAATTCGGAAAAAAGGAAAATTGGCCGATATCACAAAAATTTTTTTCTTATTGTATAAAAATAGAAATGTTGCAAAATGCATAAAAAAGGAAAAAAAAATGGCGTACACAAAGAATTCATAATTTTATTTAGTTCATTATCCGCGCGCATATCTGCGTTTCGGTGATAATGGCCAGGAAACTTCCGCGCCTATACGAGCTTATGATGCAAATGGGTTAAAATAAAAAAATCAGTGTTTCTGTTTCCAGAGGATTTTAAGATATTTTTGGACAAAATTCTGTTGTCCCAAACAGAATTGAAATGGCGAAATTCTCCGCCATCATGCGTGCACACGTCGATATTTTTCTCCCTCTGTGTGTGCGCCCGCAATTTTTTTTTTCTTTTAATGGAACTGTTGCACAAACTGCGGCATCGAACCCTTGTTCGTGGTTTATCTTTATTTTCCGCATAAACGAGGACAGGCCTTATCAACGAGTAAGCCTCTGGCTATCGTCGAAGTCGAACATGTTCCTGACATGGCCGGCCGTGGTGGTACAAGTCAACCATTACCACTTATACATATTCCCTCTTCCCCCTTTTCCGCCTCATTATCGGCGCCCATTTTTTCTTTTTTGTGTTCCCGACCCCGCCGCCGACGCGATACACAAACGAGCCTTCTTTACGGCGTAATAAAAACGGGCGGCTCGAGATTACGCGCTTTACATTGAATTTCGGTCGGTTCATTAACATTCACCTCGCTGGAATATCGTTTTCCTCTCGATGTCGCGGCAAAAAATGAAGTTCCCAAGAGTAAACGAGAATATAATGAAAATTGCAAAATGGTTTTTACGATATTCACACCATTAAATCTCGTCGTCTTTCAAAGCAGATTAATTAATTCGATAATCGAGTGGTTAGTTGGTACTCGTAATTTCCAGACACCCTGTATATATATATATATAAAAAAATTGGAATATTTCGTTCCAAAAGATGGATATTTTCTTGGATATGTCGAGTCGTATGGAATACCAATACCATGTACAGGGGAGTAAGAGGATATATCGCCAGACTGAAAGGAGGAAAAATAAACGTTGACGGTTCCAAAATTTCAATTTTCGCCTCGCTTCAATGGAATTTCTTTCCCCCGACGCTACCCAGTCTTGCTGGAGGGGGGGGGGTAGACCGCGATCAACTTCGCGGAAATTACTACAGATTTTCTATCGAGCGAACAGAGAAGGAAAATTTCGATGGGCTTTCTTGCACGGCGAGAAAATTCCCGGGAAAAGCGTCTCGACGCGCCGCTTTGATGTTCCGGGCGCGCGCGCGCGCGAACACGAGCTCTCTCCCTCGGCTTTGAAAGCCTCTCTGAACGGGAAGAAAGGCGAACGGGCGAAAGAAAGAAGTTCACGGGGAAACATTCGCTCAGAGTCGAGTAAATCGTGGACGCCTTCGAAACGAGGGGAATTTTCGTGACGTGTGTGTGTCGCTACGCGGGGGTGAAATGGGACGCGTGCCAATCGTTTGTTCCCGATAAATGCCATGTTTGCGATAAGGATTCCGGATCCGCCTGAAATCGTATGTTTATCGGAGTCATCGACCGATTCGATGCTCGTTTCGTGGGATTGGATACAACTACATTTATCAATACCGGTTTTCTTGTAATTGACATCGGTTAACCTTGACTGACCTTGAATGTTATTCATGATTATCTCCATTTCTATTTTGGTAGCTTTACAAAAATTATCTAGATTTACTTTACTTTTTACAGTCTTATTTCAAGACACTGTTTTTTAGTCTGTCTCTCATGCAGGGCGATTAGAAATCGCAAGATAAAAATATCGTTTATGGCTCTTTTGCTTCTATGCGAAGTATACTACACATTTGTCCTCTATCATTATTTTCTGGGACATATGGTTCAGACGTTATTGCAGAAGATACGCGCATTCGTATCAGTTCGGGATTCGTAACGGAACTTCAGGCGCGATTATCTCAGAACTGAAGTCTCGTCCAGAAATATTTCGTACCACGTGACTGCCTAGTTCTCTTGCGAAAAATCAACTGTGATTAAAGTCGACAGTCATTGGCGATCGGACCGTGTCTCTAGAAGGCTCGAAGTGGGAATATCGGGGTTAACGATTTAACAGGAATTTCCTGGGTTTCCGAATAATCTATTGTCTTTCGTTTTAAGGAAAAACGACAGGTGACATTGAAATACATTTTCTTGTAATTGACATCGGATGACCTTGACTGACCTTGAATGTTATTCATGATTATCTCCATTTCTATTTTGGTAGCTTTACAAAAATTATCTAGATTTACTTTACTTTTTACAGTCTTATTTCAAGACACTGTTTTTTAGTCTGTCTCTCATGCAGGGCGATTAGAAATCGCAAGATAAAAATATCGTTTATGGCTCTTTTGCTTCTATGCGAAGTATACTACACATTTGTCCTTTATCATTATTTTCTGGGACATATGGTTCGGACGTTATTGCAGAAGATACGCGCATTCGTATCAGTTCGGGATTCGTCACGGAACTTCAGGCGCGATTATCTCAGAACTGAAGTCTCGTCCAGAAATATTTCGTACCACGTGATTGCCTAGTTCTCTTGCGAAAAATCAACTGTGATTAAAGTCGACAGTCATTTGCGATCCGACCGTGTCTCTAGAAGGCTCGAAGTGGGAATATCGGGGTTAACGATTTAACAGGAATTTCCTGGGGTTCCGAATAATCGATTGTCCTTTCGTTTTAAGGAAAAACGACAGGTGACATTGAAATACATATGGGGCCTTTCAGAAGCCCATCTGGTCGACCCCAAGTAAAAGAAAGCACCGAAAATAATTTAATTAATGTTTATCATTGAAATATGTAAAATCTATAAAAATGACCAAACTGGAAAATATTAAAAGTAATGAATTTCTAGAAATCGAAGTCAGTCAGCTATAACAATTTGAGTACGCAAATTCAGATATTGTCACCTGTATGAGGATTTGTGGCAAAACGTGCTTGAAGTTTCTTTTAAACGGGTAGGAAGATCCAAAAAGGGACCATTTGTTGAAATCTCCGGCGGTCGTCTCTTCATTTTCCAGCCTTTTAGCCAGCCCCCGTTAATAATTGACTTTCACCAGACAGGGATCGAGTCCCGATCAAGTAGAACTACACGGGATTCCCTTATTCGGAATCCCCGGAGCACATTTTTTTTTCAGCCTCGACGAATGGAATTTCCGTGCCACGAATCGCACGGAATCTATTTTCCGCGGGCGGAGTGACGTATTCGCGGCTCAGCATCACGCGAGTGAAAGTAATCTATCATACAGCCTATAACGCGATATCCAGCCAGTAGGAGCGGCAGATCCTCCTCTTCGGCACGATCCCTTGGATCCTCAAGAAATTCCCGTGGCCAGGTTACCCCTGATATTCCGAATTCGAGCCTTCTAGAGAGGCGTACCGATCGTCAATGACTGTCGACTTCAGTCATATATGATTTTTCGCAAGAAAACTGTTCGATCACGTGGTATCAAATGTTTCTATACGAGGCTTCAGTTCTGAGATAATCGTGCCTGAAGTTCCGGGACGCACCCCGAATCGATACGACTGCACGTATATTCTGGAATAACGTCTGACCTATCTGCCCGAGAAAATAATGACACGGGAAAAATTTGTATTATATTTCATGTAGAATCAAATGAGCCAGGAACGATATTTTTATCTTGCGATTTTCAATGTCATTTCAAGGTCAGCCGAATTTATTGACAGACATGATGCACATTTAAGTGTATATATTGCTTCCTGGTGTTTTTCTGGTCACGCCCATCGCTTTGGCTGTTCAGAGAACATCGATCTACATAAGAAATCCTCAGAAAAGCCTCGCATTACTCGAAAGGGGCGTTGAACAAGTTTCCACCGCCGCTTTAGGCGACTCCGTTCCCTTTTCATCCCTCGTCGAACGAATTTTCGCCCGTCCGCCT